ACAATATATATGGAAAAACTTCTTTATATTTTACGCCCCACATAATGGGAAACTTCCGCAGTTGTTGGGGCCAGAATTCTCCTCCCTCTTGGTCACCAGTTGACCTTCAGTTCGCTCAACTAGTTGTTGTTTTTTATGGTTGCTCATTGAAGCGCTTGGAAGTGCTGTTGTGGTTTCAGTTTAACAAATATTGTTATTTGTGCGCCTCATGAAATCTGCGAATGCGAATGGCATTACAAGAAACAAATGCGCGAAACAACAATTTTGAAATGAATATTTTCCGAATCGCAAAATATCGAAGGAATGTTTTTTGTCTTGCCTGAATGAAATTTCGCATTTGATTTTATTTGCGTGCTGGCGAATTTGTATAGAATTTTTTTTTTTTTTTTTTGGGTTAAATCGGGTTTTTTGTTTTGCTCCACATTGCCCGAAGGTTGCGCTTGGCTGAGCAAAATAACAAAAAAATACAACAAGGGGTTATATAAGACTTGAAAATGAAGTTCACTATGCTTGAATCTCTCATTCTCCCTGCTGCTTTACCTTGAATTTTTTTTTCAAGTGAAGTTTTATGTATGGCGGGGAACCTCTTTAGTTTCCAAATATGACGCATACGCCTCGTTGTACGACTTGAACCAAAATTTGCGTCGCAATTTGAGAGAAATTTTCGGGGGTTCAATCACCCTTGAATATATGTATATATATTCTGTTTTTGGTTATCCCAGATATTCGCACTTCATTTTCCCTTCGCACGACCTTTTAGCTCGGCTCGCTAAATAATTGTGAGCATCATCATCATCATCAACTCTTGGGGTATGTGCGGCCTTGGCTCAGACTGAACTTCGACATTTGCTGGGTTCTTTTTTGTTTTTTTCTGGATTTTTTTTGTGTCTTGCCAAAAATTTATGCGACAACGCATAGCGTTATTTCCCAGATGTAACCCGCGCAACGACAGCCAAAAAAATCTTCACAGTTGGTTGATTTTCACCAAAAAAAAGAGAGGGAAAAACAAATGGAAAAACCAGAGGAAACCCGAAAAAGAAGAGCAGCCAACCAACAGCAATATTTTGATGTTCTGGGGTTGCTCGTTGAAATTGAACAGGGAATCTCCAAAAACTACAATTAAATATTTAAACAAAATCTTAAAACCCAAACAAAGTCCTAATGTAACCAACAAAGTAACTAAAAAAACCGAATAAAAACTATATACCAAGCAATCATATAATTTACACAACACTTGTATGTCAGAAGGCCTCATAAAAATGCATCATAACAATAAAAATAAAAACCAAAGTATAAACAATTCATTACTCAGACAAAACTGTCGCAGATTTAACGCCAAATTGCCACAAGGCAGAATGCGACTGCAGCACTTCCTGAAAGTGAATAATTATTATTATATTTTTATATTATTTTTCACGATTTCCGTCAACAGCATCAAAATGGCCAAGTGAGCATTCATTCATGAAGACAATTAAAAAGGGGGATTAAGCCAAAAGGCATTGCTAGACTAGTACTCTTTGTGCCATTAAACTGTCTAGAAATTGTGAAATTTCGACAAATTTGATTCGAAACGAGGAAATCAAAAAGAGAGGAGGAGGAGGAGGAGGAGTCCCTCTTCTCGGATTCATTTAACAAACAATTCTCTGGCACTTGAGTTTCGCACTGAATCAAATCCTTGTTGAAAGACAGAAATAATGCCGTGAGTGAGAAATGGAAATGAAAATAAATGACAGCGCGAGAATCAAGGCAACAAAATAAAACACAGGCGGAAATCCTTCAAAGGAAGGAAATATTTTGCGCTCAACGAAGGATATTTCCTTTCATATTTCAAATGAATTATGCTCGGAATTCTTTCCGCCTTTAACTGCTGACATTTGCTTAAATTCTTGTATTTATTTCCCCCCTTTTGCAGTAACTTTACGAGGGTCATAAACTTAACTCCGGACAATTAGCTTCATCTGCATAATGGTCATATTTTATGCCAGACTCCCGGCATTTCTTGCTCCGCTCCAGTTATCCCCATCATAGACATCAAAAACGGTCAATTTCCCTACGGGTGGGGGCTTTGGATTCGAAGAGGGTTTATGGTTGGTTTGGAACTGGAATCTGGGGGGGGGTGTCGCATAAAGTTTGCCATCTTTTTGCTGCTCGTTTATGGCCGCTCGTTTCCCATCTCACTTGGCGCAGTTTTATGGGCATTCATTTAGTATTTAGGTCAGTTTTTGCCATCGTCTATTTTCCTTTTACATAATAATTCAGTGGCTTTTTCTGTGTGTGTGTGTGTGTGTGCCTCAGCAATCAAAGTAGCTCTGGCCATGCGGCGTATACGCAACGTATTTATTTTTAGCAAATTGTTTAACGACTTTTAAGCACAATTGAATTGAAAACATACGGGAGGGGGAGGCACTCACATTCTATTTGTTATTCTATGTTCATTAATTTGTTGCATTTCCTTTAAAAATATATATAAATCACATGATTCATTGCCTTTGTCTTATTTTGTTTTTTCATGTTGCTTTTATGCGGAAATCAAAATTCTTAGATTGCTGATTTTATTATGCAATCCATGCCAATGCCTTGTGTCAACCGCCAAAAAAGAAAATTCGCCTCTCTTTTCAATATTCATTGCAATTTTTTGTTTTGTTGGGTGGGAATTTTGCAAACGATTTTTAATGTACGTGACGAAATCTGATTTTGAATGCCCACACACGCCAAAAACGACACACGAAGGCAAGAAAAAGATGAATACAGAGAGAGAAACAGAACAGGAGTCTTTAAGTTATTTTAAAAACATTTTAAATACTTTTTAAACTAAAAGAATAATGCGATCTTAAGACAGAACAATATTTCTAAAATATTTAAGCGGGTTACCCTAGAATTTCCAAACCCATTTCTCCTATATTTTTCTTTCTGTGTACTGCCAAAAAAAATCTATATACACTGCAGACACATATGAGCAGAGAGTCATATCTGAAGCCAAATGCAATTTATCAACAGTTGGGCTTAAATTGTCTGCAGCGTAACGGAAACTTGGCCCCGCGTGGAAGATGTTTTATATCTGTTTATATCTCTCTCTCTCGACGGTGCTAAGGGGGCGGGGCCCAAAACAAAAAGGGGGCGTTCGTAGAGCGTAAAATTCTCTAATAAGTGCAAATTGGTGCTAAAACAACAACAACAAACGACGTTTGGTTTTTGCATTTTAATTGAATTCGAATTCGTTTTTTATTTTTGCTCATTCGTTGCGGTTGTAAGTGGAAGTACGAGTATCTGATGGATACAGATACGACAGCACACACACGCAGATCGAACGGGAAGTGTGGCTGGTCACCGAGAACGTGGTGGCCGCCTTCAGGGTGATATAATGTAGAAATAAATATAATTAGTATGCATAGTACATATAGTTGTTTGGCTCTGGAGACTCTGGGGGTAACCGAGAACGTAGCCATATTGCATAATGGGACAGGGAAACCTCATTTAAATGGGCGAAACAATAAAGCAACAAAGTTGAGAGATGGCGTAGTTATATATTTACTATAATTAAAGCCTCTGTTGGATGATCATAAACACTTGGAAGTTGACTGGGGATGTAGAAATATGAGGAAATAAATTTCTTTAATTTTTGAATGAGGTGAAAAACAAGGAAGAGTAAGAAAGTCTTTACTATTAATGTTTTAAATAGTATATTGGGACAATTTAAGCAATAAAATAGCTTAAAGAATGATCAATTAGCATGAAAATATATATATAATATTTAGACTAATCACCCATTTAAGACCTACAAGAAAATCCTCTTTAATTTAAACTATATTTTAAACAAAGAAATTTCCAACTTTTGCTTATTTACTTTATTTATTTATTGTTTTTTCCTGATTAACAATCCTTCACCCATTTCTTAGTCGCAGTTTAAGATATCACCTATCTATCAAGACATAACAAAACCCAAAAAGAAAAAAGAAAACTCCTTATCTTCTCCACAACAAAGACAGTTCAAAAAGCATTTAAAGAATAAACAGTTAAATAACATTCTTCCTGCTATCTGTGCCTTTATGTTTTTTTGGCACCTCCAATCTCTCATTCACATAACGCGGTTAGCCACAAATCCAATCTTATAGGCCTTTCTTATCTGGCAAACAAAGCCCCCCCATATCAGTGCTATTTTATTTTCGGAACTAGAGCTTGACACGCAAAACAAAAACAATATAAATATATAGGCTATAGTCATCATAGCTAAGTAAACAAGAAGTATTGACAAATGTTTTTACATAATGAAAATTAGTAATTTGATTGTAAACACAATAATATACAAAAGAGGGAGAGATTGTTCTAAGCAATAAGGAAAAGAATATCTGGAATACATTTTTAATAAAATACATATCATTTTACATAATAAACTCATTCTAATGTTGCAACACTTACAGCATAGTGTTAATGTAATATCTTTAAAGAAAATACTCACAATATGATCTCTTCTTTTTGCTGATATGTTTTTTGTCCATGTAATCATTTTTGCAACAATTTGTGTAACAATTGCAGCACCATCAGCAGCAGCAACAACAATAGTGCCAAGGCAATTACAACAACAACACTGTTGTAGGGCCTTCATACTCAAATTATTGTTGTTGTTGTAGCCACCTATGTCGCCTTGTTGTTGCGCCTTTTTATGTTGCGTAATGTTAGGCTACATAATCGCGTTTTCTGTGTTAACAGCAGCTGCGCCTTTTTAACATATCCACGGCCTCTTTAACCTTAACATGTTAAGAGTAAGGCCAGCGTAAGAGACAACAAAAGAGATTAGCTCTGTTCATAACAGTGCTTACCCCTGTTAAATGCTCTTAGGTGCTCTTAGCATGTTGCAATATCGCATGTTGCTGGTATCTTGGCAACATTGTCTACAAGTGGCCTACGTGACGTAGCGAGGGTTGTTTGGTTTGGAGAGAGTGGGGGTGGCACAAGGGAAGTGCATGACCTAGGCACTGCAATGACTTTTTGTTCTAGCTTACCTTGTATTTTTTGTTCACATTCGCCCTGCATTTATCGATGGCCGAAGTTTATTCGCTGGTCGAGCATTAGTAAGTTGTTTTTTGTTAGCACTATTATTGAGTTTATTTCAAGAGTTTTTTATCACTTTGCTGGGGAGCAAAAACCTGTTGAAGAAATTAAACGAAAGGGTTTGATTTTTAGAGATAAAAGAAATTACTTAATATTTAAAATAATGTTAATATATTAAGATAAGTCACAAAACTATTAAAACAAACAGTATTTCTAATAAATATTAAAAAAAAAAGGTTTTGTTTAATTTTTATTATTTATTAAAACAGTTTTTAAGAATTATTTTGTAACTTTATTTGTTAGTTTCGTTCTTGTTAATTAACCTTATCAGTCGCTAACTCGATGACTCACAGGATTTCATAGAAAAAGTCAGACTTCCTATAAGTTCACTCTAAAATATTTTCACCAATTGATTCATTTAAGTTTCCGTAAAAAAATAGAACACTTATTTAATTTTTATGTACTACCAGTCAATAATATAGTTAAATATTTATCCATATCAATAGTAAAGAGGAAAATATTTTAATAAATCAAATTTATTGTTCGCAAATGTTATCTTATTTTGTAAATTTAACATTTTTAAAAATTTTCTTTTAAAAAATTTATTATATTGTTGTTAAAGGGGAAATTGGCGCCACTGCTAACGATCTCAGCTGTCAAAATCTGTGTCCATCAGTCCTCAAAAAAGTGTCGGAAAGGAGGAAAGACATGTAAAAGTCTAATTGTCGAATATTCGCGCGTGCTGAACATTTCCCAAATATTTCTAAATACATTTATATATGCTGTTGGCACGTCTAGATCGTTACATTTAATATATCTGTATATGTACTTTGTATCTATACTTCTGCAATATGGGCAAACGTAATTGGTTTGGCCGCACGCCGAATACTTTTCCATACCGCCAGACAATTTAATTGGCCAGAAGCTGACATTTATGGGGGTTTCTACTAAATTTATATACTCAAATTAGTTTTAAAAGTCATTAAATAAATTTACTAAATCGTTTAAATATTTTTTAATATTTTGCAGCGCCTGCAAATTTCAAGAGTCTCTGCCTGCGTGCCGAAGTCTTGCTCAAACTGAGTCACTATCAAAGTTCTCTGGCGGATATTGAGAATGCGCTAAGAACGCGCTGCACTTCGCCCAAGGTAAGGTTTTATTTTATCTTCATTAAATTATATATTAATATATTTAATTATTAATTTTTTAGGCTCACTATTTGAGGGCTTTGGCCTTGAGCGGCTTGGGTAGACTGGAGGAGGCTTTGTACAATGGTTTTTTGGCTATTTGCCTTGATAAGAATACAAATCTCAGCAACTCGGAAATATTTCAACATGATCTCGCCAAGGTATTAAGAATATATATACATTTTCTACTTGACTAAAGCTGTTTTTATAATAATATAATAAATAATTAAATTATATGAATTTCCTTAAAAACTCACTAAAACTTTCCACTTTCCCTTCCCTAGATTCTCCAACGTCTCCTGGCCCAAATGCCCAAGACTCGATGCTCGATCACCGCCTCAGCTCATCCTGGTGTCCAGCAGCAGCACCGCAGCTACGCCAGCTCAAGGCAACCCTATCCCCTTTTGTGGGAGCAGGTTACAAGACGGAGGAAACAGCAGCACCATCACCATCACCACCACCTCCATCATCACCATCACCATGTCCATTTGGACGATGTGGAGGATGAGTTTGGTCACTATGACAACTACATAATGGCCGGCGATGATATGGAGGAGGAGGTAGAAGTGGAGGTAGATGGCGGTGAGCCTGGATCCCTGCATCTGGACGGCGACTTTCTGTTTCCCAGTGCTCTGGACTTTATGGATCACCATCGCCATCAGCGGCATGTCTTTGAGCAGAAGCAATTCGATTTGCAGCCACGCCGACATGCCAATCGGAAGCACTGCAAGCGGAAATGGTCGGCGGCCATGGGTAGCGGTCGCGTGGCAGAGGAGGAGGAGAATGTGGATCAGACTGAGGTGGCCGGAGGAGGAAGTCAGCGGTGTAGCCGCCTATTTGCTGGTGTTTTAGAGCGCACGCAGCAGGAGCTGCAGCGACTGAGAAGTGAGTGAAATTAAGAAAAAACGAATGAGAAACTGAAACTAATGCTTTCTCCTAATCCCTCAACTTCCAGAGCTGGAAGAAACGGGCCCATCGCTGGCGGTGAGCGCGGTGGCCGGTCAGCTGATCGATGCCAGTGACTTTGACTGCGTGGTGTGCTGCCGGACACTGTGGAAGCCGGTGGTCACCCCCTGCGGACACACGTACTGCCTGGTATGCTTGGATCGTTGCATGGATTACAACTCCCCGTGTCCATTGTGCATGTCACCACTTGTGGAATTCAATGTCAATGCCAGTGCCAGTGCCAGTCAGAATCAGAATCAGATCCACCTGCATCCGGGCTCATCCTCGCCAGTTCCTTTCGCGCTGGCCAAGCGGCCAGTGACGAAGTTCCTAGAAGCCGCAATGAAACGATTCATTCCAGACCACTACGAGGCGCGTTTTCGTCAGGAGATTGACCAGGAGCCCTCCGTTCCTGTATTCATCTGTACGACAGCCTTTCCGGCTGTGCCATGTCCGCTATTTGTGTGCGAGCCCCGCTACCGGCTGATGGTGCGGCGTGCCGTTGAGTCCGGCGACAAGACCTTTGGCATTGTCCAGCCAAATAGCGGCAAGTCGCGCTACTATGATGTGGGCACCATCCTGGACATTCGCGACTGTGTACAGCTGGGCGATGGCTGCTCTATTCTCAGCACCATTGGCTGCAAGCGCTTCAAGATACTGGCGCGCAACGAGAAGGATGGCTATGAGACAGCCAAAGTGGAGTACATCTGCGACGAGCCCATTGCCGAGGAGCAGGTGAAGATCCTGGCTGGAATGCAGGGAGTGGTCTTGGCCAAGGCCAGCGGCTGGTTTGAGAGTCTGAGTACAGAGCAAAAGCATGAGATCCTGCAGAGCTATGGCCAGATGCCACCGCTGGAGCCCAACTGGGAGCTGATTAGCGATGGGCCGGCGTGGGCCTGGTGGGTCATTGCCCTGCTGCCACTTTCCCAGCAGCTGAAGGTAACGTCTTTTGAAAATATTTAATTAAATGTTTAATTAATTGGTTAATTATCCTTTTCAGGTGGATATCTTGGCCACTACCTCTTTGGAGAAGCGTCTGCGTGCCATCGACAAGACCCTGGACTGGCTGCACGATCTCAGGCATCCGCAGCAGCCTACGCACCACCACCAGCAGGCGCCTCAGTCCCCGCAGCAGGCACACCACCACCTCGATCTCGACTGCGAGGAGCAGGGAAACGGGCTCCTCCGGAGCCGATGAGTGCTGTCTGTTTGCGGAGAACGGATCTGAGCCGCACACGGATGAAGAACTGTTGCTCTAGAAGAAACTCCCAAGATAGATGGGAGTTTAACACATTAATTAAAAGTCGAGACGAAATACATTTTGTAAATTCTGTGTCTAAGCCATTTCGTTTGTAATCGAACGTTACATGTTAATCCTAGGGGCCAAAACCGAAAGCGAGCAACTTTAGCAGAACCAAAATTATCACTAGATCAGCAACAACATAATCTTTAGCTCTAACCTATAACCCTGTGTGTGTGTGTGTGTACGTATAGTGTAAAGTAAATTAGAGGAGAGAATATATATATTTAATGACACGACAAACCCAGTGAAACAATCAAAAACCATTTGCTTTTGGCTCAAAAACCCCGTTCACCATGAAACCTAATTTCCCCAGATCAACAACAACAACAACCACATTCCACAAAGTCTTGAAAATATAATATATATGTTTGCCATAGCGAAAGGAGCAAGGGAAGTAAAATCAACTTTAACAAACAGAACTCATGGTTTCTACAAACAAAATACACAAATTTTTGAACATAAAACAATTTTAAAATTAAAAAGAAAATACCAATTCAAAGGCCAACAAACATACACCTAGTAAAAAATAAAACAAAATATAAAGTCGGTTAGGAAAGAGCAAAGGAAACAAACTCTTACAAAACTTTAACTTCTCTTCATTTACTTTGTATAAAGCGGCTGGAACTCTAAGACAATCTGCAATATTTTTTTGATATACCTAAACGAAACTAAAACTAAAACTAAAAAAACTATAAACTATAAACTCTATATACAAGAAATAAATAAGTAAAACTGAACTAGCGACTAGTTATGAAGAAAGTGAATGATAGGAGAACAAATGTGTACATTTTCAAATTGATTTTCTGTTGATTAAACCAAAACACACACTCTCTATAACCACCCCCTACTCTCTCTCTCTCTGTCTTGATTATGCTAAGGCCAACTAATGATATGCTCACCTATATATACACCTATATATACGATTCTATATGCTAAACGCTTGTTTCTGTATTCGTATCTGTATCTTCAGCCCGCATTCCTATTGAAGAGCTATAACTTTCGATATAACTTTGCCTCGTCTTTGATTTCTACTCTTACTTCTACCTCTAAGCCTCTCACGCCCATTTCGTTTATTATTTGCTCCACCGCCCCCCCAAGCTCTCCCTTGTAAAGCAAATCAATTTTAAAAACAACAATTTGCTTTATCAGTCGGCACATCCTTATCTTTGTAAATATCTTTTATCTGATAATCTTAAAGCTCTATATGTATATGTATCTTCTACGTTAGCTATAGATCACGAATTTAATTTTCAGCTCAACACAAAATGATTATCTAAATCTAAATCAAAAGAGTTTGTCAAGTAAATATTTATATAATTTTATACAACTTATATACACGTACACCTAAATTAAATCATTTTACATTTAAGTTTAGCAACTAAATGGAACACCCAAAATCGACATCATTTTTTATTGTGTCTACTTTATATGGATAAATTATTATGTAAAATCTATATAAAAAAAAAAAACAATATATATATTTCAAATTTCTAAAATGCTTAAGATTTAATCAGCAAACATCTTTTCTCTGTGTTTTTTGTGCTAAACGATTTTTTACTGGTACTTCTTAATTTAATAATGATGTAAAATAAAGAGGAAAACAATTGAAATATAAAAATAAATCAAAATGTGCGGTTTTTCTACTTTGCAGAGGAGCTATTTGGAAGAAGAAATTGGTAAAAAGAACTTTTCTAATTTCTAAAATACTCAACATTTCTGAAATTTTGTTTTGACTTGATCCAAAAATACTTGCAACCACGGCATCTGTGAATAAATGCATATATTATATATTGTGCGTTGCATAAACCGATAAAACTTTCAAATCAAATCGAGCAAAACTTGTAAATTGCAAATAGTGCGCTCGATTGTTACGTAAGCATCTGATAAATACCAAATTTCTAGTGCAAGCGGTGGTTTGCGATTTGGCAACTATGGAATAAGAATCGGAATTGATTAGTTGATATGCTGCCAGAGAAGTTATAGACCAGAGCTGGGTTCTGATTCAGTTGGGAAGCTCTTATGGAGCAGAAAGCATGGCTGGTTTGGGTTACGGCAAGTAAGTGTATATCTCAGACATGTCTGGAGCTATACTTTTTATACTTATGAAATATTCATAGCGGGAATTTGCGTAAACAAAATATAAATGAATGGGTGTCTATGACTACAAAACCTATGGAACGACGAGCTAGTCCCCTGGAAAAAGCTTAATTTCCAATGACATTTGTCTATATTTTAAATTTAAATATTCATTGCTTCATTTTTTTATAAGAAATTAATTACTTTTAATAGTTGTTTAATTATTGCAAGTTCAATCAATTATACATAGAAGCTGCTCGACAATTTAAATAAATAACAAATTAATCGTTATGGGTTATTAGGAATATTATCTGGTTACTTTTATATTACCATTTTGTAATGAAAAATAATATTTCTATTATAACGAACGTAAAACATTGAAGCTTTGAATTTTGTTTATGAAATATGATACAAACAAATATTAAATCAATAAATGTATATTTACAGAGCACTTTTTACAACTTTATTTTTCGGTACAAAGCAAGTAAGGAAGCTAAAGTCAATGGAATCGAAAGAGAGATACCCAAAACCATGATAGAATTATAATTCTATTATGCCCAAAACCCAAAGCTTTGTCTATGTATGCTTAAATTTATAAAAAACTTCAATTTAACAGGGCGAAAGGCAGAGGAAAATGTTGACAGACAAAATCTTGCTAGGAACATGTTGCGCAACACTTATTTCTCCTGCCAACATAAAGGTAAATGTTGCAGAAGTTAAACATACTCAGAATCTTTATTGTTTCGAATTCTATATGAGATTTTATGGTTCAGGGTTATACTTTTGTAAAAAAATTAAAAATATTCTTAGACACTAATTAACCTTTTTTATATAATAAACAATATTTATAAATTTTATATACAAGATCCCTCCCAAACCCCATCTTCCCAGCTTAAAGCTATCATATGTCTAGGCTTACCCTTAGCTCAGACCTTGAACTTAAATCTTAGCAAACAAAGCCCGTTGACTCAGCTCCCTTGGCGGGCAGAAGAGAGACCCAAAGACCGAGAGACCCTTATATCTGTAATCTCCAGACGAAATACCAGAATTGCACCCAGAGACACCCGGAATATCGGACAACAAACAGAAAGGTGGAAGGCGAAACGAAACTATAGAAAAACATGATACTGGCCCAGCTAGGAGAGGGAAAATGCGAGCGAACCTCGCTCGCCTCAACGACCCTGTTGTGTGTTTCTGTGTGTTGATAGTTTGTGATAGAGCCACCGGAGAGGCGGACAGATAAAGACTCGACTCAGTCAGATCTGCGATCGGTGCAATTGAGTGGATTCTGAGTTTGGCGAGAGGAGAACCCACTCCAAGTGCAGCGGCGACATATTAAATAATAGCCGAGGGTCCGTTCCGAGCTCAATCAGTCAGTCAGGTAACGCTCGGAATGTTCACACATATCGCGTATACGCCCCGGCCGGCAAAGTAGACTTGCCACTAGTCTCACTCTCCCGCGTGTCCCAATACTATATCGCAGTGTCTGTGAGAACGCTTCTGGAGTCCCGCTCGCATTTCGTTGCATTTTTGTTCGCCGTTTCCATTTTCGTTTATCCACGGGCCTTTTTGCGAGCTTAGAAAATGCACTTCTCGTGCATTTATTCAGTTTGAGTCCAGCACGCGCAGCGTCGACGAGCGGATCTCTCTCCCCTTTAAAATATATAAATATATATAGTAGCTTTCCGGATCGGGGTTCGGTTTATACGTATCTTTCGGATTCCGCCTTTTTTTCGTGCAGTAATTCTTCAATATAACTTGTAAATACTCGATCTCGATGAAAAGTCAAGCCGTCTGTCGTCAATTATTGTCTCCAAGTGTAACTTGATCACAATTTACACGCCGTGTTTTTTATCATTTTGGTTTTGTTTCTGTTTCGGTTTTGATTTCGATTTTTGTTGTCTTTCCCTCCATTCGCGCTTCGCCAGAATTTTTTAGTTTTTTGTGCTGATATTGCCCGAAAACAATGGCAATTTTCCACCTTTTCGGTCACAATGAATTAAGACGTTTGCAGAAAACTAAAAATGTTTTTTATTTTATTTTTATTTTTGTTATTGGAGCTCTGTTTTAATATATACATACGATTTGTGACCAACTGAGAAGCAGCAAGCCGGCCAGAAAATAAAAATGAGCAAAGCAAAACGGAAAAAGTTATGTTATGTAACTTTTAAAAGCAATTTGCACACACGAGCAAAAATAACAGGCATAAATATGAAATAATTATTAGAGAAATAAAGTGAAAAGCCGGAGAAACAGAAGTGGCTAAGCCGTCAAAGAGGAATATAACGTATATAGATGCAAATAAATAAAGAAATTAATCATAGGGCGTTCTTTACAAGGCAATAAATTAAAATAAATTAGCAAATAAAAAGTGAGTGATGTTTCAATAAAGTGTTAATTGAAATAACACAAAATATTATATAAACGCCACTTAAAATCAATCATTAAAGTGCCAAGTTAAATAAAAAAAATGCTTAAATTAATTTAACTACAAATTTTTAAAGTCAAGTGCCAAAACCAAAAGCTTAGCTCAGCTGCGACTAAATTCTTAAGTGTTTTCCTTAAAAAATAAAGTGAAAATAAATTAAATAAAAGGGCAATGAAACAAACAACTGCAGCCATTAAAAATCTATTACGAAAATGCCGCGCCAAAGGAGATAAGACGAAGAAACCTGGTGATGGTGGTGGGAGAGGGGAGAATTCTCGCTAAAAACTAAAGTGCATTCAACCAAAAATTACAACAAATTATCTGCCAGAGAGACTACTTTTCTATGCCGACTTTCGTTAGGCTTTTGGCTATATGCATGCGCCTGCGCAATACCTTAAATATATTATTATAAAGTGTACATTTGTATATAAGAATAGGTATCAGTCTGTTCACTCTGTTTGCTGCACTCGTGTTGTTGCATTTTTTTTCATTGTCAAAGTCAGCTTTTATACCCAATATACTAGAAATGGGTATATAGTGTTTGAGTTTGATATTACCAGGTTGTAAAGCATGTAAATCTGATCGGAATACAGTGTTGCTGTGCATAGTTGAGTTTATATAGTAATTAACTAATAATGAAACATTTTAATATTATATAGCAAAGTTTGTGATAATTAGTTTAGAAAACTAAAGGATTTGTGTACTATTTTCTTAATTTGTGGAAGGGTACTTGTGGTTTAGATTAATTTATAAATTATATATTAAAGTAATCACAAATTTTTAATAAATTTATTAAGATAAAAACCTTTTTATACCTTTAACAAGCCCTATTTAGTTTTAGATTCACGATCTAAAGGTCTTGGTTTTGTTTATTTTTGTATAATAGAAGAGAAACCTATTAACTTTATTGATTTACCATTTAAATACTCTTAGTTCACTGTGCTTTCACTCAAAATCCCACAAGTACATACATAGTTGCCACGATTTGCATGCTTCTGTAAACGTTTATTGAAGAATTTTCAGGGAAATAACTAGTAGCTAGGTATTTCCCCAGTCGCCAGACTTGACTTTTCTCAGTTGTTTTATTTTAATTGTATTTGTTGTATTTTTTTATTGTTGGCTGACAAGTCTCGGGTCTCGGATCTGGCGTCTTTTTGAATTTTTTTTTGAAACGTCATCGTCAGCGTTTGACTCGACCCAGTATCTGTGTATGTGTGCGGGAGTGTGCCTAGGTGTGTGTTAGTGCGCGTGTGCATTTCGTGCGGTGGTGTGTGATCATGCGGTGGCCGCACACACGCTCTCAGTAAAAGTTATTTCAATTGACAACCAACTTAAAAACAAAATCTATAAAAACAGGCAAAAGGCTGTAAGCAGTGTTTCGAACTTATCCGATACAAAATTGATATAAAATGTGGCACAATTACGAAATGCATTTAAACGACCTGGTTTGCTGCACTTTCTGCACGTCTACTTCATTTTCGTTTTGAGCAAATACCTGCTTGTTGATATGGTGAGATAAGCAACTGATTGACAACTGCCTCATGTCGTCAGGAGGAGTACTTTTCGTTTTCTTTTCCCTTTTTGTTTTTAGTTCTTTTTCTTTTTGCAAAATTTAGTTAGTTGAAAACAAAGAAAGATAAGTAGAAGGAAAGCTTCTGGCAATAAATATTTAGTATGTTAGTGAAGTGTTTCAATGACTAAACATTCAAGTAAATCTTTCCACAAGGCTATTCCTAAGCAAATTAATATCTATTTCCAGTTTGAATTAAAAATTCTTCTTAAAATTAGCCGCAGGGTTTTGTAAATCCCCTCTAAAGCCACTCTTTCTAACGTTTTAAATACTGTTCATTAAGCATAAGGAAATAGATGTTTAATGAAATCTAAATTGTGATGAAAATGGGGTTTCGAGATGATGTTATTGAGCAGGCAGACTACTCATGATCAAGTGCTCATCTCAGCGATTGATTTATTATTAGATGGATTACCCATTCCCAGATCCGTTTTCCAAACCCTTTCATTAACCCATTTACCAAGTACAAAAACCAAATACAACTCCCCCAATAAAGAACCGGTTAAATCGAGGG